GAGGGATGACGCCGTGGCAGAGAATGCTGTGCTGCAGAGGGAGAGGGATGACGCCGTGGCGGAGAATGCTGTGCTGCAGAGGGAGAGGGATGACGCCGTGGCGGCGATTGCCCAGGTGCAGAGGGAGAGGGATGACGCCGTGGCGGCGATTGCCCGGGTGCAGAGAGAGAGGGATGACGCCGTGGCGGAGAATGCTGTGCTGCAGAGAGAGAGGGATGACGCCGTGGCGGAGAATGCTGTGCTGCAGAGGGAGAGGGATGACGCCGTGGCGGAGAATGCTGTGCTGCAGAAGGAGAGGGATGACGCCGTGGCGGAGAATGCTGTGCTGCAGAGGGAGAGGGATGACGCCGTGGCGGTTGCCCAGGTGCAGAGGGAGAGGGATGACGCCGTGGCGGAGAATGCTGTGCTGCAGAGGGAGAGGGATGACGCCGTGGCGGCGATAGCCCAGGTGCAGAGAGAGAGGGATGACGCCGTGGCGGCGATTGCCCAGGTGCGGAGAGAGAGGGATGACGCCGTGGCAGAGAATGCTGTGCTGCAGAGGGAGAGGGATGACGCCGTGGCAGAGAATGCTGTGCTGCAGAGAGAGAGGGATGACGCCGTGGCGGCGATTGCCCAGGTGCAGAGAGAGAGGGATGACGCCGTGGCGGAGAATGCTGTGCTGCAGAAGGAGAGGGATGACGCCGTGGCGGAGAATGCTGTGCTGCAGAGGGAGAGGGATGACGCCGTGGCGGAGAATGCTGTGCTGCAGAGGGAGAGGGATGACGCCGTGGCGGTTGCCCAGGTGCAGAGAGAGAGGGATGACGCCGTGGCAGAGAATGCTGTGCTGCAGAGGGAGAGGGATGACGCCTTGGCGGAGAATGCTGTGCTGCAGAGGGAGAGGGATGACGCCGTGGCGGCGATTGCCCAGGTGCAGAGAGAGAGGGATGACGCCGTGGCGGAGAATGCTGTGCTGCCGAGGGAGAGGGATGACGCCGTGGCGGAGAATGCTGTGCTGCCGAGGGAGAGGGATGACGCCGTGGCGGCGATTGCCCAGGTGCAGAGAGAGAGGGATGACGCCGTGGCGGAGAATGCTG